AGCTGTATATTCATTAAAGTGCCTTATACAGAAGATTGTTAAATGAAATGGCATCCTGAGGGCTTTTCTTCTTAGCTATGGTTGGATAGTTGCTAGTGGTTTCATGCTTTACACAGTAACATAGATTTACTCAGGAAACATGAACTCTTCCACAGCCTTCAGGTATTAATGATTACATGTCACAGGAGACTGTCTAAATACATGTGCAGCCATTTATCTACCTTCCCAGATAACCGAGCCTTTACATAACAAAACCTTAAAATACTCAGGATTGCACAGAGAAAGAATGAGAAGGAATATTATTGTATCCTACCTTTTAAAGCCCCCAAAAGCAGAAGTACGGGATTGCAATTCCTGTTTTTATCACTTCTGAACTTACGGCTAAAATGACAATTAGATAAAGAACAGAAATTATCTAGGGAGCATGGAGTGATCCTCAGGACTGCTTAGTAACTTCTGTGACCAGCCTGTGGAGTCAGACTCCTCCCTTTCTTTGGTCCATATATGAGTCCAGGTTGATCCATATTGACTTTTTTTTTTTTTTTTGCAACAGTTGAATCTTCCCTATCACTGATCCTGGAGGTGAGATTGTCACCTAGGAGGTAGGATATGTAGTTTGTTGACCTAAAGCTAAGAAATCTGAAATATGTATGTCTCGTCCTCTGGACAATAGTGCTCGCATCTGTGCCATTGACAAAAGGACAAAAAGGAGGACTCACTTGCACCCTCTTCTCTGCTGATCACCTTCTCAATGACAACAGGGAGCTCTGCTCAGGCCTCTCAGAGGGCTGAAGGGCCAGCTGTCTTCAGGAGAGGACTGCACATTTGTAGCCACCAGCTGACCAAGAGCACACGCCTCTGCCTGTGGCCCTGGCTTTGCAGATGAACTCCAGAGAGGACCAGGAGTTCACCCCTATGCTTAGAGTACCTCACTGCCTGCAGGTAGCTCCAGACTCACCATGCAGTTTCCTCAGCTCATTCTTCAGAGAAACCTGTCTCTGATCTTTGAGCTGAGTAAAAAAACCTGAGTACTTTAGACCTTTGATTTTATTCCAGGGATGTGCTGTTTAAAACTTCACTCTTACAGCGCCTAATTTATAAGCACCTGAATTTTTTATTGAATCTTATCCTGACAGGTTATTTTGTAACTAGCAAGATTTTGAGTTAGCTCTTTTCGACAGCTGTGGTTAATGAATTTTAATAATAGATGCTAGAATGAAATGATAAAATAGCCGTTAGCAGATCTTCCAGACTAAACCCCAGCTGTTCGGTAAAGTTTTTGGACATATATCTGTATTTTTGACTGCAACTGTAAATGGAGTAAAAGCAGGTCCATAGATGCAGAGCTCAGTTAATCAGAGACAAGGAGTGTCTAACCTTAATTAGTGACCTACCAGTTGGAGAGGTTCCTGAATTTAAGAAGTTCTTGAGGAAGTCTGGGTCCTGCTGTGTCTCTTGAAGCACCTTTTGAAGTACACAGTACCCAACATGTACCATTCTTATCAGAAAACCACACAGGACAGCAATCATGGAGATGACTGAAGATGCCTCTTGCTACTCTTTTTATCTTTCTACTTGTAGAAGTAGACTGAAGTAGGACTTAGTGATTAAAGCAAATCCAAGTGAAACAGGCCAGTTCCTACTTAAATCAACACACAAACAGCAACAGAAGCTGAATCTGAGGGTAGGTTTGGCCTTTCCTTTAAAAAGGAGACCTGTAAGCAGTAGAAAATAGAAAATAATCCAATAAAATGTACATCTACCACTAAAAAAAATGCACAGGAAGGTAGCTGCTACTGATTTTAAGTAAGGACTAATCCTTCACCTCAAGACACATTTGCTAAGAAATGCTTGAATTTGTGTGTAGAAAAGCAGCACTGGAGTAGGCAGAGGGAAAATATGTATTATGAGGCTTTTCTGCAATGGTGTCATTTAACTTCATCACCAGAGTGATGAGCCACTGAAGGCAGATTAGTTTATTTCACCTTAAGGAAATACCCAAAAACCCTCACAGGATTTTGACATAAAAGGAGAAGCAATGAAGTCATATTACTTAATTATTAGCTCCTGTATTGCAAAAAGGCAGGTCAAAATATTCTACTTTAAAAAAATGAAGACTATAAGCTTGAAAAGGCACAGGAGGGACAGAAACAGTATAGGTTTGGGGTTTTTTTGCTAGAAACACAGGTTTTTTTCTTTCCTGTTTGTTATATATTAAAGGCAAACTTTGGGGCACTTAAAAAGTATTCTCACACCTGAGATAGAGACCTGAGTCAGAGCATAAGGCTCAACTTCTCATTTTCTTTACTAAGAGGCTAGATAGTGTACAGTTTTCATTTATCTACTCAATTCAGCAGCATCTTCCCATTATTCAGATACAGCCAAAATTCTCAGACCTAAATGGAAGGTTGGAATTTTTATACATGTAATCTAAATTTTTAAGAATCTGTAGAAGACCTCTTTTTTAAAATTAGCCTTTTCACTTGCCTCCTTCTGTCAGAATATTTGATGCTTTCCATACACTAGCTCTCAAAATAACCTGGTTTTATTTTGCAGTTCACCTCTAATTCCAAGTGCTGAGAGCTGGGAATGCTGGACACTATGGGCTAGTAAGGAATGTATAGGAGCTTAACAGCAGGAGCAACAGACGCAGGTTAAAAATCCAGTGACCAGGAACAAATGTGCCTTTTATTTCATCTTCCAGCTAAAATCCTAGATAGAGTTTATTGGCTTTAAACTTTTCTCATTTAGTAGAATAATCTAAGCTTAGTGTTTCTTCTTAATCACATCCACTTAAAATGGGACATATATGGCTCTATAAATTAAGCTAGCACAGAAGTATTCTTTGTTTAAAAGACCTGGAAATTGCTTGACAGTTAACTATTAAATGGTATCTAAAATACCTGGAATTTTCCTTGAAGGAGGTTATGCCTCTACCGAAAATGATAAAATCAAGTTTAAACCACAGCTGATGGAAACGTACCACTTCATTATCTCAAAGTCAGGAGCTAAGTGTATGTCTGAAAAATATTGAGCTTAAGTGTTTCTTCAAGGTGATACAGCAGCTTAATGGCAGGGTCACCTTCTTTTGAATAAAACAGATTTTTATCCCACAAAACACATCAGAAGTACAAGTATTTCCGTTCACTTTGAAACCTGTTGAATTTTTCTCATAGAGACAAATCAACAAGTATATAAATGTGGCAATCAAACAGTCATAAGTGCAGTGGTTATATTTTGCACTTGTCTGTGATGTTTTGACTGAAGAGTCTATCTTGGACCTAAAAATCTTTTCTCTGAAATCATACATTCTCATACAAAGTTTTTGCTATGTTTAGTATTTTTCTGAGAAAGACTTTTGACCAGCTCTCCACTAGGCTCCTAGTTGAATGTCAGATGCAGCTGCTGACGTGTCCTCCTGAAAAATATGTACAAGTCTCCTCTTTAAGGAGCAGCAAGATCTGCAGCATCCTTGTAATACTGATGTACCTCTTCTCAAATTTGGGGTCCTGACATAAAAAAGGCTGGAATGAAGGATATGGTGTTGTGCATACCCAAGTGAAGGCAAGGAGCCAACAAAATGCTGTTGTAATTACAAGAGAACATTCTTGTATCATAAAAATGTAAAGAAAAAGCTATAAATCAGATCTGGCCTGGTGGTCCCTGGCAGCAAAGTGCAAAAGATTTGAGCTCATTCCCTGAGCTAGCCAAGAGTGGGATCCTCATGGCAGCAGCAGCTCATTCCAAGGGAGGGCCATTCCTTGTGACTCCTGGGTGATGGTCATGAAGCAATGATTTTAGTGGGAGTCAGATCCAGCCTCTGGCCCTGAAGGAGTGATAGCGTGAAAAATGCTGGCCATTGTGAAAAGTAAAGCAAGCTGTGAACCGGAGGAATTTTCTCTTTGAGAGAGAGAGAGAGAGAGAGAGAGAGAGAGAGGGTGTGTGTGTGTGTGTGTGTGTGTGTGTATGTGTGTGTGTTTAGGAGCCTGCTGCTTTCAGGGTTAGGTTTGCACTACTGTTCAGATCCCAATATTGGATCACTTCTTGTACTTGAGGATGCAAGATTGTCCTTTAATTCAGGTAGTTAGTTTCATATTTCTGTATACTCACTCATGACACCAAATCATGCTAAAACCTTTGTATGGACATTAGAAAAATGCAAAGAAATGAAGTAATGCTATACAAAATGTCTCTATTGAAGTTCCCATCACTAATAAACATGGATCCAAATTTGAACTTCAGTTAGAAATGGGGTTTTCTTCTATCATGGAACATTCTTCTCTTTTCAGATGTCTCACAAGGATGTAGCTCTTTAAAAAACATTGATTTGTCTGGATAATTTACTAATTTCAAAAGTAACTAAGTAGCAGAAAGGTAGAAATTATGAAAGCTGTTAGCATTGGGCAGTTTTCTAGAGACATTCTTTAATACAAACTGTGTGTGTTAATATTTCCTGTCCCTCTGAAAGATGTGGCTTGATCTGAGCCTACATTTACAGTTTGTGTTTGGAAAATAAGATGATGTACTATTGTTAAAATAAAATAAAATAAAATAAATCCTAAGGGTGTGCAAGTGATTACAGCAAAACAAACCCCAAATTGACAGCTGCACAAACAACACTTGCACAGCAGTGGTAGTCAGCTACTAAGAATGCCCAGTTTCCCATCATACTGGTAAGAATTTATAATTAATATCACATTTGGGGAGTCTTCTGTAATAAAACCACAGTTTAATAAGCTAACTTGATTATGGAAGAGATAGAGTGGACTAAAATTCAGTATTGTTTTGCAGAGTATGTTACCTCCCTGTTGATAGCAGTAAGAGAGCAAGGCAGACAGTGTTTTCCAGTAAAGCCCCTACAGTGGTTTAAGAGGTGCAATCCTGAAAGGTGAGGGGCTCTTTCCCAAACAGATGTGACCCCCTGCAACTCTGATAAACTTCCCAAAAAGATGAGGGAAATTTGTACCGCACAGGATGTGCTCAGCACGTTGAGGGATTGAGTTAGTAATGTCCCTGATAATTGTGGATACCTCATTGTAGGAGTCAGTTTTTATTTAAATTTTTTTATTAGGAGTATACACATCTGTCTTTATACCCAGCAGCTTTTCTGGCCCACAAGAAGTCCTCTGTGAATTTCCCCAACTGAGCTCAGTGGGATCTCTGTCAGCTGCAAGATTTATGTCATCTTTTTCAGTCCTGAGAACTGTTCCTTAAGCTTTTCACATCTGGATTTAATTGGAAAGACATTAAAAGACATTAAGTGTGCTGGAAAAGCATATTTTAGAGAGAATCTTTATAGACACTTCCATTAAGGGAGCTGATAGTTGTAGGTTAAAATGGGATGAGGATGAGCCATCAACTGTTAGCAAAGACAAAATTATATTACAAACTACTTCAGATGAGAAGTTCGTCCTGTAGCTCTTGGGTCTGACTCTGCTCATACTTAAACAAACTTCAATTAGGCAAAAAATTCCAGCTAATGCAGTGAAAGAATACTCTAAGATCAGAATCAAAAACTTTTTCCTTTTGGAAACACTCAAATTTCTAATTACATGCCATATATGCTAAATATAATGCTTTTAGCTGTCAATCTAGATTTGGTACTTTGTTGGACATACATGCACACTTGTAAAATGAGACTTGGAGAATGAACAGGGGGATTGGTCATTAGGGCTCTGAGGGTGGAGGTATCCTTCTCTGAATGCCAGTGTGCTGGCCACAGGAGTAGAGTTTCACAGAAGCAGAGATAGGATGCAATTTAGTACGTGAGCTTCATTACAGATGTTGTAATGCAAGAATCTACAGCCCTAAACTCCCCCATTGTTCCAGCTACAATTTGCTCCTTGAAGAAACCAGTGGCCAATGCTTTGCATTAAGTGTAATCTATTGCTTTTGTCTTCAAACTGAAGATTCCAGTCATGTTTAGATTGACAAGAGCTTAAAATTTAAGGTAATGGACTCAGTATGAGAGAACAAACATTCTTTCATTCTAAAATTGCTAAAACCAAGGAATCTGATATTTAGGAAATTGCTCCCCTGTCTAAAGCAAAGTGTATGGTCTTTAGACATAAAATATGTCAAGTTTAAAGAAAAATATTGGTATTTTTGTTAAACATTGTGGGGGGAAAAGTACTCTTTAGAATATGTCAGCAAAAAAAAATTGTGAGAGGCTCTCACAAGTCATCTTCTCCTAAAAAGGTGACTTTTCCTCCTCTGTAGAAAATGTTTTGCATTGTTGGGAAGATGATAACTTGATGAGTGATAGTGAAAGGAATGAGGCATTTGAATTAAATGGCTGTAGTGCAGACTTCAAAATTTTCTATCATTACATACCTTTATTCAGAATCTCCCTCTTTCTATCTTGGCCTATGACAAAATGCATGTAAACTAGTAAAACTGATTCGTACTTTTATTGCCTGACCTTGAGCCAGCCCTTTCTGTGCTCAGGTTCTCTCTCTTTGGTTTCCTTCTCTTTTAAAACAGCATTAATGGAACTACCTCTGTCCTTTAGTGACATTTTGTCTTATGAAAAAGAGAATATCCTCAAGGGGAGCCAAAAAGTACCTAAACACTAGTGAGAGTGTTTTACACAGTTTACTAAGAGAAAGAGTAACCATATTGATGCAAGTATTGAGTAATACTTCATAGCTTGAATCTTGTTGTATACTGATTTTGGTGTGGATATTTGGGAATTTATAAAAAACTTCCAATATCTATTTTTTTGACCACTCTGTATGAGCAATTACCTAAGAAAACCACTTAAATAACAGAATAAATGCTTATAGCTCATTAATTTTGTTAAAAGAATTCTAGCTATATCTACATTACTACGTGGGTCAGGGCCCATTCCCTCATGGAGAATAACACAGTAATTTATGTATTGACACCTATGCAGTGAAGGCAGTGGCAGTGATGTCAAAACCAGGATGGAGCTATGGAGGTCAGATGAAGGAAGAGGATTGTTTAACACAGTGTATTTTAGAAGTCACTGTAAACTCTTACACAATCAGGAATCTCAGTCAACTTATTTAAAATCAGGAGGTCAAAATCTTCTGCAATGTATATGGGGTTAATGGTAGCCGACTTGCAACTCTATTGCAGTGATGTGGAGAAATGCCTATAAATAAATAAATAAATAAACCAAATAATTCTGAGAACACAGCTGACGGGGATATTTTCCAGCCATCAGTGATGAGAGAGTGATTCATGGCCTTTTTTCAATGCTGGTGCAGGATTTTGCCTGAGGATATCCATTCTCCTGTTTTCAGCTTTACATTTGAAGTTGTCTTTCTTAAAATCTCCTATAATTTTTGTCTGCAGCTCCTCAATCATGCTTGAGTGTTGTCTTAGTTGCATAATTTAAACATCTACCTACCAATAACTGGCCATGTAAATACTCTCATTTGGAAGTCTCTAATTAGTGAAAGCCCCTATATTACTTAAATGTCTACCTCCTTCTGAAAGTTAGTGTTTAAGTAGCTTTTGTCTAAGGATATAAAATTAGAAGCAAGATTAATTTAAGATTAATTGCTGTCTAGTAAAATTCTATTGTATATGTGTAGTGCAAACACTTGGAAATTTAATTTTAAAATATTTTCTTTCATGCTCATAAATAAGCTGTGATGATGCATGATTATTTCTGTATTTGTTCTTGGAATTGCAGCAACTGAAGGAAAAATTTGGAGTCTTGAACTTAGAAATAAATTTACTTTAAAAGAACTTCCAGAATTCTAGACAAAATCTATAGCAGATACACTGCATATCTGAAAATATCTGAGAGAAGATTTACTTTACTCTTAATCCTGTTTTAACTGTTTAAGATTTATTTTAAGTGCTGGTACTTGGGGCCCAACTTTCACACCTCACTTTACCATTAGAGGTTGTAGACACAGGTCAGCAGATACTGGCACTGAACCTGAAAGCTCTTATGAGATGTTCATGAAGAAGCATCAACTTACTGGTTTCCTGCATAAATTGTCATGAAGGCAAATGTCGTGGCAGCACTTGAGTATATTGCCCCTTTCAAGTGGGAATATGAGTGTGGGAAGAGTCTGAGAAGATGCAGGTTAAAGAAGAGTCCTGTACAGTCTGAGTCCCATACAGATCCTTTAGCGATCCCTTCTTCTCCTATTCCTACCTGCAAGTAAGAACACAACCTAAACTTGGCAACTAGACTAACCTCTCCATGCTAGATTAATTTCTTATTCTGTTAAATTAGATGTGTTTAAGTATCATTTATTAAATCCTCTTCAGCTTTTCTCTCTTTGTGACTGGAAAGTATTCTATCACCATTAAAACAATCTTACCCCAGATTATTATGCAGATCTTTCTTGGGCTTTAAGGGAATGCTTCACCATTCCTTACTCCTGAAATTATTGCATGGTCACAAGAATGGCCGTCAGATTTTGAGTGCGGTGGTTCACATGGAAAATAAGCCATGCCCAATTGACTCTCTCTACTGTTAAGCAGGCTCTTCAATAGATGAAGTAGATGAATTTAGGTTGAAGATCAAAACCTATGGAAAAAAAGTTCCATGTTGAATAGTGTCTTTCACTCCATGCACTTCTCAGCATATTAAGAGGCATGGAGGAATGAGTACACGTGTCCAATAAAACTAGGTGGAAGAAGGTGACATGCATGCTGTTGATAGAAGCTCTGTTTAATATGTTGGAAAAATTGTTCAAGAACAGTTAATCCTTTCTTTAGGATTACCCCCAGAAAGCTGGCAAGGTCAGGCTGTACATGGATTGTGTGTCATTTAAATTCTGGCTGCATGAGTTGCCTGGGGGCAGCATTAACTACAACGTGGGACTTGTTCTAAGCTACATCTGTGAATCATCATTCTTTGTTTGAAAACAGTGGACTCCTCCTATCCTCTGAGCTCCTTCTCTTGACAGGTGCAATCAGTAGCCTTAAGTGTAGTGCCTATCAAGTGACTATACCTTTGTGCAGAGATTAATCAATTTGGAAAATGCTATTTCCATGTAAACTACACGAGTTAATCAGATTATAACCCTGTGTTTTTCATGCATATCATAAACCATATGAGGAAAGAGCTTGAAGTCATTTAATTAAGGTTTACACTGTGTGCTGTGAAAAACCTTTCTGAACTTAATATTCAAACAGATTTTAACATTGGTTCACATGAAATCTAATCAGCTGGAGAGAACAGCACATTGAAAGGAAAGCAATGAAAACTCCTAGCAGGAGTTATTGTTTGCAATATAGTGAATTCATTTGCAACAGAAGCTGTGGGAAAAAGGGATTTGTTTGCAATACTTAAGTTTTTGTTTAGCTTGCATGTAGCCATCCTGACAAATTCAAGAGAATTAAATAGGGATGTTAAGGAGTCAAATTTTAGCTACTTTGTGTGCATGTATGTAAGTCTACACAAAGAAATATATCTTCTCTTTGTGCATTTCTCTATGCATGAAGTGTTGAGTGTGGGCAAGTTAAAGCCAGGTGGAAGCTTAGTCAAAAATTTCTTCATATAGAGAAATTAAAAGCAATCACCAAGAACAATAATTTGAATACATACAAATTTAAATAGTTGCTCAGTTTTGGGGCACTGAACCTTCAAACTCACGTCTATAGCTGTAATATTAATTTTTTAAAATAGCCTATAAATGTGAAATTAAAATCCATATATTAAAAATTCATGAAGCTCATCTCATTACTGATTCAGACAGCTTTGCTGCAATGTTATTGCACAGCTGACATTGCCTTTTGAGGCCTCAGTAGTCAGGGAGAGGGAAAGAAACTCACTGATTAGAGGGACATTTTTCTTTTGATTTAGAAAACAAATAAACATTGATTTGTTTGTACATACTACCAGTTTTGCTCACACTCTACTATTGTCTAGGCTTTTGGCTAGACACTAAAATCCAGATCTAGAGTCTGTGATGGTAACCAGGTATGCAAACATGTTCTCAAGCCTAAACTTGAGCAATAGAGACTTGCTGATGCATATGGCACGTGACTACAAGAAACATGACCACAATAAATCATTTGACCCAGAAAACTTGGTCCTGAACTAAGACCCAGCTACTAAAGGCAATAAAATCTTGTCCTTCACGAACTCTTCTAGACTCTGACAAGTCAGTCTTGCAGTTTCTACCCATAATTTTATGTCTTCAGAAAACACTGATTAAGGCCAAGCTGAATATGTTTTTTCTTGTACTTAGAAAATTGATGTTAGGAGGCATATTGCCAGTGAACTAGCAGTATGAAACTGTGTCTTTATTAGGATTGTCTCAGACCTCCTTGGTAAAGTCAACTGGAAGAGCCACAGAGAACAACAAACGTTTACAATTTTCAGTTTCACGTAATAAGCTGAAATGTAATATAGATTTAAGAGGAAAAACACAAACCACATACTGTGTTAAAACAAACATGAAAATTTTATGGTGAGGATGTGATCTTAAATGCATATGGACTAGTGGAGTGCCTGTCTGCTGCTCTTGCTAGAGAATGATCTAATGTTACTAGATTGTCATTATAAGACACTTAATCCCCAGAGAGAGAAACAGGAAGAATATTTACAAGTTTCAGTGCTATTTGCTAATTGCCAATTGACTTGAAGAAAGCTAAAAAAATGACTGGAAACATCCATCCCCATCCTGATACACACACATACCAATAATGGAAATGGCAGCCAAGACAAACAGCTAGCATTGCGGTGCATCCTGTTGGCATCGTATTTTTGGCACTGTTGTAGCTATACAAAAAACAAGTGATACAAGAAATGTGTAAGGACATCTGTTCTGTAACCTATGGGGCTTCACTCACAAAACAGTTGTAAAATCTTCTGGGGGAGAGAAAAATTTCTCTGTATCTGTGCAGATGCTGTATTGTAAGAAAATATCAATGGAAGGAAGTGTTGAGCCTTTGAAAGAGGAAATTGTTCACCAGATTCACTGTCAAATGTTCCATTCTTTTCTTTCCTTTTCATTTAACCTAAGTTATCTGCCATTCATAAGTTATATTTAAGCCAAGTGGTGTAAATCTATTGGGACTAATATAATTGAATCATGGATTAAATTACCCTGGTGTCTGCTTGTAACTCTTCTTCACTGCAGATTACTTGAGCTCTGTGTCGCTCTGCTGACTATTCAGGTCACAGCCTCTAAGCTACCAGCTTCCTTCCTGAATCCAGCATCTTCATGTCTGTCTAGGGGCATGATGGGGAGAGAAGAAACATTAAAGAAATCAATTAAGATCCAAAGTATTGTTTACTCACCTGCTTCTCTTAGCTTGCTGATCCTTCCAAATACAAGCAGGCTATGGGAGAAAGAAAAGGGGGAGGTTTTGGCACGCTGCAGGGCTCTCTACCATTCCTCTACTCCCCTTCAGCCACATCCAACAAATTGACCTTATAAAAAGGAAATAAACTTTCCCAAAACTCAAATCTTGTTGCAAATATTGGGATATAAGTAATTAGGCTTCCCCCACAGGTAGCTTATAGACAGTAAGACATGGTTCCATGAAAAAGAAAGCAGACCTCATATTAACCTGGAATACATTAGGAAACTGGAAGTTAAAGAGGGACTGTGAGGTGTAGGAGATTTGGAGAACCTGGGGAAGAAAAGCTTAGTCCTGACAGCTGCTGAAGTCCTGGGTGGGAGTACATTTAGGAGCTGGAAAAATGCAGACTTCAACAGTGCTCACAAAAACACCCTGATACCTGTAGCCGGCACATCAAGGATACAGGCACAGACTGCTTCCCTGCCAATTGCTCTCTCTGATATTTGGTTTCACAAATGCAATAGGTCTGAGATTTTATCTTTTATGTCCTATTTCAGTATGGGAAAGGCATGGCTTGAGGAAGAGTGAGATGGCGAAATGAGATCGCACCATGTTACAAGCATTAGGATTTTGAAATTGTGTTGGTATTAAACATGCTTATCATTGAACACCTTAAATCATATTTTCATTTTATGTACTTTTTCTAATTGTTCTGTATTTACTTTATTGACAGCCATATGCTCCCATGCTCCCATTGACACCCAATGATCCATGTTTATATGCAAAAAATGTGCATTATTTTATATTTTTCCCCTTGCTGTTAAAAGAGGAGAAGGGCTCTCTTGATCTGATTCTATTAAGCTGGTGGCTAATGTTCTTCCAGAAAGTTTTGAATCAGTTTTCCTGGAAAACAACCCTGAAAGCTGCTCTGTAATTTATGTGGGATGCCTTGCAAGTAGTCAGTTCTGTGAGTAAAACAGTAGTAACTAACAGAGCTACTCAGCAATTCTAGATTTTGGATGTTTATGTTAGTCTAATTAATCTCTTGATGATTTCAGGATTTCAGTTGCTCCTAATTGAGACCAGACTGTTCTGCAGATCATATGATCAATCTGTGATTTAATCTTGAATGAAACTTTACTTGGCTCTACTTACAAACTGTGATCAGGGCATTTTCGTCCAAGTCACTATACAAACAAATAACCTGAACACAAAGTTCTTCCACAATAAGTTTACAATTCACACATCAGACCAGGAAGCTACGAGTGGGTATGAAAAAGTAAACAAAGTGTGTTGAGAAACATGTGAGGTAGCAGTTTAACTGTGTGGGAGGAGCCGATGTCTCAGCTTCCTTCCCTCCTTGCAGTGCTACCTGGTAATGGGCTTAGGTTTACCATACATAAGAAGGAAGGAGATTCTGATAGTTTTGCTAATGTGCATCAGGAAAAAATGGATGTGAGAAGACAGGAGATTCTTGGGTGCTGGTCCCTACCCATTGGATTCTTTCTCACAGTTGCTAACCCATGACCAATTAAAGTACAAGGAAGCATAGGAGCCCAAATCACTCCCCTTCCTCACCTGATGAGTCCTACTTGTATTGTCATGAAAAGGACCTCAGGGAGAGGAGAAGAAGAGAGAAATTGGGGTGAAGAAATGTGTTGGGTTACTGGAACCGAAAAGTTAAGAGGAGCATAGTTGAAAACCCTCATTGCCACTGGAGGAATTATTTGCAATGAGCGGTCACTTTGCTGTGCAATCAAGATCAAGGATGGAAAGACAGATGGTGGTTAGATCTTATAGGAGTAGAGAATGCACATGTGAAACTTGTGAAGGGACACTGAGGTGCTAGAGAAAGAATTTTTATGAAGAATGGAAATATATAAAAACATCAAGAAAACCAGAAGAAATGAGGAAAGAGAAAATTCTCTCTGGGAAACTCAGTGAGTGATAAAAGTGAAAGATACAGTAATGGGATCTCATACAAGGGGCTCAGAACACATGGTAAAGGTGGAGTGGATTGTAGGTAACAGTGATAATCTGAGGTTTACCAAGAGACTTTCTAAAATGTTCAAATTTTTTTTTTTCCCTCAGGGCACAAACCATAACATTTCAAAGATTAGAAAGATTCTACTTTCATGTGTGGTGGGTGGGAGTGCCTTGTACAGCCTTCTGAGGCTTCAACAGCTAGTCATTACTATAGACAAATATGGGACATGTGGTCTTTTACTTTGAGGCAGCCTGGCAATTTTTGTGCTGCTACTCATCTCACCAAAGTACACATTGTCTAATAATATTTAAGTTGTATAAACATACGTTTCAAGTGAAGGAGTTGTTGAGAGAATCCAGGCAAAGAATTAGTACAAAGGCAAATCTAGTACTTCATTACAATGGCAACTCCTGTTCCAGGCTGGGTCCCTGCTCTCTGGGGGAAAGGAAGATAGAGTCACAGATTATTTCTGTCCCAACAAATAAGAAGAGAGCAGCAATTGCTTCACTCTAAACAGCGCTTTAGGGCCTCCAGACAGTTCCATTGCTTGAGGTGTTAGCTTAGGGCACAATGTGCAAAGTCACCTTTTCTTTCCCCTGTGATTTGTTCTGAATGCATCTCAGGAGGAAGTGATTAAAACACAAAATCTATTTTGTGGTTCTGCTTTACATTTCACCTTCTCAGTAGAACTGACCTCAGCTGTTTTATTGTGCTGGCTCTATCTTCAAAGTCGGCCATAAGGTGTCAGAGATTTTCATAATCAAGCTTTTCCAAATCAATTACAAAAAAGAAATTTTTTTTACCAAAGCAGATAGAAGGAAGAGAAGAAGAGGGGGCTCATAGCAGATAAGGCAGAAGTTGGTCAATGAAGAATGCAATGGAAAATGTTAGATAAAACCTGACTGTTCTTCTATTCCTGATTCTCCCTAATCACTCCATATAGCATCCCCCTGATTAGCACATTTCAGTACCTGTGTGCAAGACATCAGGCTGTAACATTTTTCCAGATCTGAGTTTGGAGTGCTGGTAGTGTCCTGCTGACCCTCTTCCCACTTCTCACACCTTCTGCAACCATTTGCAGCTCAAAAGTTTGTCCATAGGATCTCTAGAAAGTGTGGGCTCTAGGAAAGCATATGGGGAAGCTGGAGACACTTTGCAGCTAGAAAGCCGAGAATCCTAAAAGTATGTCCTATTCTTTATATAAGTGATGAAGCTTGCATAGACACAAATGGGAGTCACTGATATACCCAGGAAGAAGGAGATCTCCTCAATCCACGCACAAGCACAGCTATTTATCATGGAGCTGTTGTGCACCCACTCGCTTAGCTCTGCAGCCTAGATGGCTTCAATAAACAGGAAATAAATTGAATCTAGAATACCAAAACACACACCTTCCTTCCTTTGGTGCTAATATAATTGTGCCAGTGGGTTTTTTGACAACTCATTTTTTCTTTAGGCAGCGTTAAGTGCCTTGAAACAGTTTTCAGAACAAGGACTGGATCCAGTGGAAGGAGCTATGAAACTTGAGAACGGATCACATGAAAAGTAAGTACAATTTAAATCCTCTGCATTTTAATGCCTGTGTGGCATGGTAGATAAGAAATGTTAATTAAGAGCTTAGTTGCCCTTTTAAACCTATGCAAAACTATTTCCTCTGGAATTTACATACAGTTTGTCACAATTTGAGAGGATAAACATGATTTCAGGTTTAGTGTTAGTGATAATGTTTACTAATTAGCTATGAGATAGTCCTGTGGAAATGCTAAAGAAAAGGATTTTCTTTCCATTGTATGGATTCTGTGTAAGAAGCATAACATGATTTTTGTCAAATGTGTTGTAGCACATGATATTGCCTGTAAATAAGCATAGCTATCTGCCAATAAGGCATTATGACTGCAAGCTGAGTTTTACCTCAGAGAACTTAAAAGTTGAAATTTCTTTCAGGTCTTAAAAAAAACTCTGATATGGAATTAAGCTTTAAGTAGTAGACAATAGAACAGGGTTTCACACTGGATTTTCAATTATTTAAGAAAGTGGGATTGTCCATCCAATAAAGATTTTTTTTCCAGCTGCTAGTCTGTTTATGTAAGAAAGTAGTCTTGTGTTACTAAATAAATTAGGAAGTAATAGAATAAAAGAACTAAGACTAAAAGTGGCCTTTGGAATTTTCAGTAGATATATCGTGGCTATTTATAAACTAATTTAATCAGAAACATATTTCCATATGATCTCATCAGCATAGTATTTGAACATAAATATTGTTGTTTCACTTTAAAATGTTACCTTCCACGGTGACCTTTGAATCTCAAGTGCCATCTGGTAATAAACATGTCTTAAAGATGTGCAACCCTGGACCTTACCACTCTTGTTAATGTATTAATCTTTCAGACAAGTCAAGCATCTGGGAGAGAAAGCAGACAATAAACAGACTAACTCAGGCACCATTGCTCAGGACTGCAAGGATTCAAAGGCTGTCGTCTAGGAGCTTCCCAGCACCCACGGCTGCCACTGCATCCTTATAAACCTGTCAACACGCAATAGGGTGTATGTGTACAAGGAAATGAATGACTAATACCATTATTTGAGTCTTATGTGAAGACAACACTATTCTAACACAAGAGATAGTATACATGGTACTGTTTATTCAACTGTGGAAAAAAATAAAATTGAACATTTCCCTTAGAACTCGAGATCAGACTCGAGATCAGAGCATAACTCAATTGCCCAGAGGCAGAAGAAGTCTGATCGTGTTACTGGAGGTTAAAATAACAATGAATTAACAAAAAGTTTTGGGGAAAAAAAAAAGAAACTTTACAATTGATTAATACTGAGGAAAATAAGTCAGCATTGGTTCAGTTATACAATTTTTTGTAGTGTAGTTTTAAGTTCAGCTTACTGTTTTTTAAATAATGCTTGAATATTTTAAAATTAACC